TTAAATAAATATATGCATTTAAACTTTTATGTTCTCTACTGTTTTTCGGGGAAAATGCTATAAATTCGGGGTCAGAGAGGGAGAGGGTTTTATTGTTTGAAATTTATTGTAAAAAACTGGGACTGGGGCTAAAATTTCGAGACTGTCCCAGGAAATCTGGGACCTATGGTCGTTTTACATTACTATTTCCTAATGTTATTTGACAATATCTTTCGCATTGTACTGTTTGGCAACGCAGCATCCCGGCACAGCAGTAGAACATTCTACTTGACAGCATCTAATTTCATTGTGGTTTACGATGTATTCCTGTGACGTGTCGACGATATTAGATAGTTACCGCATTCTACTTTAAGCTGTAATAAATAAATGTATTTACAGAGAAATCCTGATAGATTACGGGCCTAGTTTACGCCATGTAACGACTTATAGCTTTAGGTAAATCTATTCTTCTATATTTTTCGAATTCAGAAAACAGAAGTAACGCTGTCGACATGTGCTGTGTAGATGTTCCATCTGTAAACAAATTCAACGAACAAAATTACTCACAATGGAAATTTCAAATTGCTTAACACGACGGCAATAAAATGAGAAAAAGGGCGATGCACAAGAAATGTGACATCGCCTGTGATGGAATTTTCGCAAGTCAGGTTTATTGAGCGTTGATCTCCGCAAACAAAATACTAAAATATTGCATTCTGTAACTGAAATCTGACTTTAAGAAAAGCTTTATAGCTTGACAAAATTCATCAGTTAAAAAGGGAAAGCAAAGGAATAATCATGAGGAACATTGTTAAAATTGAAAATCTTGTTCATCAAATCAAGGACTTAGGCAAAAATATCAGTAATGCAACTATAACTGCAAAATTTTCGGGAACGTTACCTCCAATGTATATAAAAATTTTAGATAAATATGGTTATCCGTCAATGATCGTAACTACACTTATCAAATCTGACCGCAAGACTCGTCAATTTATATAATCGCCCTACTTCTGGATGATTCATTTGTATACTAATAATCAACTATAACCATACCTCTCGACAGAAAGAACTGTGGAACATCTCATATCCTTGCGGTTTATTATTTCGTCAATATCAGAGCCCTTTCTTACGTTTCCGCTTGTGTAAAATTATATTTTGCCGCCAGATTTAAGATTACGAATGAGAAAAGAAGGATTTTCATTTCCCCCTCATTTAAAATTATTTCTGAAGCTTCTGAACCTACACGATGTCATTTTATAATAGGATTTATCCGGTCTCCTTTGTGGAACTGTCAATTGCACTCATAGGTAAACGAAACAGTAATAGTATTAAATAATTTACTTACATGATTACAATCAAATCTCCAGTTAGCGAACACTGATGGAATGGCTTTTATCCATTAGCAAGAGCGCCCGTTAAATGAAAGTGCCCCAATATGCCTCTTTGAAAGTCCGAAAATTCTGAATTATTCGTTATTTCGAAATATTTACTAAAGAGGAATGGCCGTTTACAGAAGTTCTACTGTGTTTCTTACTGCAGTACATTAGTACACCTAATTAGAATAGATTCTTAAAAACTGAGTGTAATATTAGAGGAAATATTAACTCTAGTAGCTCTACTCTATATCTCTAGTAGCTCTACTTGCATCTAATTCACCGTCATTCGATTGTAACGTCATGCGCAGAACTTGGATCTTGTGCTGCTCACACCAGGCCGATGCTATTCGCAACAGCGGTGAGATTAGCTGCTTGAGTTATTCGCGCCAACATTAACCAAGCATGCGCATTGAGTTATCGGATTTGTCATTTGAACCCAATCGAAAAGAACGGATTCTACGTACACGAACTAAGTGAACTGCAGTAAATCTTTTTTTTTTTTTTTTTTTGAAGGCGGGTTATCATTTTTTAAGCGTTGGCGACTTTTAAAAGTTAGAAAGGAAAATGGGTTCCTTTTCTTGTATATATATGAAAAAGGAACACATTTCCTTTTATTAACGTATATATAGAAAAGGGCAGATTTTTAAATTTGGATTGTTTATCGTTTTCCTGAACGGTTGGAATAGTTTAAATGACTGATTTGGGTGGGTGGGGGACAAAATCTTGTTTACATTTTTTGTACTTCTTAGAATACATTTAGCTTCAAAGATGTGATTTGCACAATCAAAACTTCATTCCTCTTTAACAATTTTCGTCTGAGAAAAGATAATAAAAATTAGACAGAGGATTTCCGTGTAGAAAATTTAGACATGAAATAAGTTAAAAGCGATTAAATCAACTATTAAATGAATAATTAATCATATAATACTGGTTATTAACAATTTTGTCTGCCTGTTTATATTTTTTATGGAAATACTTAACATTTTCAGGACACAAATAGTATTTCGAAGAACTTTGAAATATTATTACAAACACATTAATAAATTAAATTGAAATAAATAATGGGATGTAATTTAAAAGACAGAAATAATTTAATGTAAGAGATTTAGATTTAAAAATTTGCACACACAAATGATTTATCAGAGTTTATAAGGTTTTATTTCATAAATAACTTTGATTTTGAAATATGGCATTTGAACCTATAAAACTGTGCGGATACTGTTTATAGGGTTCTGAAAAAGTGATGAATATTATAATTTTCAGTAAGTTTTCTTATTGAATGATAAATTCTGACAGTCCTATGCTACAGACATCATTAAATCCCTATTTTGTCCAATCATTTCCTGAACATTATTATGTATACAGATTGATCTCGTCTTTGTAACTGATAATTATTACTTGCTAATTATTCTCTTATTAACAACCCATTCTATTGCGGAGTTAGGGTTAACAACCTTCGCTCCCACTACCGCCTGCCTGCCTTACGGAAATCGGCGTAGCTGATTGTACGCATGCGTGAATGTAGCCGGTGTGAATAGCCTCTTATCTATTCGCACCGTCAATGCGCTTAGCCACTGCGTGCTCTCTCCTTAAAGTTCACACATCATTTTCGTCATGCAATGGGCCAACCTGGCAACGGCAACGGTGGTTTAGGCATCCGTGCGTGTTGCCCCTTTTCGGTGGAATTGCGGGTTATGTGATTTGGTGTGTGAATTTCTCTTCGCTTTGCAATTGCTTTAAATTCAAAAAGTCCAAGAATGTTAGCCCATGCTGCAAGATATAGCTGTCGTGGTAACATTAAATTTTCTTAAAAAAAATTCGTAATTAAAGTCGTACCTTTTATAAAAATATGAAAATGTAATATACTCGACGACTTTAATTTAAAATATTTAAATTTGAAAAATTTATATGCGTCTTAATCTTTTACAAATTTGTCAGAAAGATCTATTGTCATAAGTATGACCGTTATTTGTTTTAAATCTTTTTTTTTTAAAAAAAACTTGTCATTATTAGATAGGTTAATTAATACCTATTGAAATGTTTATACCACTGACACCGATTGAAATTTTTAAAGACTGTGTTAGTAAGCTTATTTCGTTTGTGTTTTTTCTGTAATGCTGTTCTGTATTTTTACTCTGCTATACTTGTATATATATTATTTTTTTTTTTTTAGCCGCTTTGCGCCCCGCGCAAAAATCTAATCAGTTTTTCACGTAATATTGTGCCATATAGTGTATTATCCTCTAATTTGTTAGCAAAAGTGCAGATTAATACTGCTGCATCTGCACATTCTGGTGAGTTCGAAGGTTCTTTCATAATTTAAAATTTGCTTAGTAATTCAAACAATTGTTTTTAATGAATTGTATAAAATTTCAGATTCTCAAGGCAAATTAAAGATTAGATGTCAACTGTTATTTTTTATAATCTATGTACATTTTTTATTTGTTTATAAGTAATTAAATTAGTTGAAATTTTTTACAAACAGTAAATTAGAAGTTTTCTCTGAAAGCAATAATTAATGTGCATTCATATTTAAGTAATCTTTCTTTTGAAACACAAGTTTATAATTTTTTACTAAAAATCTTGTATCGTGGACAGCTATAAGTTTCATTTTCTATTTGACTAATTAAAATTGAGCTATTTGTGCAGTACCTGAGCCAGAATATATAATATTTGTTCATGATATTTATTTTATATGAATATTTCAATGCTGCTTTATGAAAATACTGAACATTTATATTTATACTGAGCAATGATTATTCTATCAAAATTTCTGTTTAGAACTGTAATCATTGAAACTTTAAAAATGCTTTTGATTTTTGATAGAGTTAAAAGCTGTTGATAATAACCTAAAGTTCATATTCCACTCTAGTCAATATCAGAATATCTGGAATTTCTTGTCCGCTATCAAACATAATAACAATAAATTTCAAAGAATACCACGTACACAGCATTCTGTTTAAACTTAAAAAAACATCTACGAATTGCACAATCTAGGCATTGCGCACAAATAAACTGAACTAAATTACAAACAATTCAAATAACAACGGAAATTCATAGTAAAAAACAATGAAATAACATTCTACAAAATAAAATGACTTACCATAATACACTCCTGAATAAAATTTCATCAGTCACTCAACGTCTCTGAACAAAAAAGCCACGATTTTGCTATATGACATGTTTTTTCTGAGAATCAAAATTTCAAAAATAATGACAAAAAACTTCCTCCAAAGTTAGCTTACAACATGAAAACCACAATCCAAATCTTAAACTCTGCTCACAGAAACATACTTACCAGCAACTTAACTGCAAATCCACACAAGAACTATCAGAAATGCCCTTCTTCGTTCGAGTTCTTATAGCAGCTCCGCATTTCGGACTCTGTTTTAAAAGTTCCACAGAAATTCCAAAAATGCACTTCAATCCTCATAAACACACCCGTGAACAAAAGACCGCGTTAAAAACACCAACATTGTACCTTTCAATACTAAATTTACTTTCCACACAATCTAAAATACACGACTGAAATCTTGCCACCACGTCTATCATTGCAACATAGGCCATTTCAAAACCGCACGCACGACACAAACCAACGAGCAATTAAACCATTCCAACAAAAGATTTTTCAACGTGAACAGGGTTGCCACACCAGGGCAATCGTGCCAAAAACCACCGCAGAATGCATATCGCCACATTTGGTGATATTAGGGTGTGCGTATAAGAGTAGAGTGGTAAAAGTATATTTTAGGGTACCCCTTGGCCATTTTTGGTGGGTACATGGATATTGATTTTGCGCAATTCTTTGACTTAATTATTTTGCATAATGGCAATTTTTGAGCCAAAAATCGCTGCTACACAAGCCAAAATAACAAGACAAAGAATTGCACGAACTCGGTATCCATGTACACATCGACCTATTTTCACTTTTAAAAAAATTCCCGAATTGTGCAAAAATGACATTGCGCAATCCCTTGACTTTATCCATGTACACGTCGATTTACTTTCACTTAAAAATATCCAAGAATTGCACAAACTTACATTGTGCACTCCCTTCACTTTGTCCGTGTACATGTCATTTTCACTTAAAAGGTCAAAGGAGCACCCAGTTCTACAGTACAGGCAAACAAAGAATACATAATCTTAATAAACTACATTTTAAACCAAACAAAAAATAAAAATAAAATAGCATAAAAAAAAGGAAAAACATGTTATACATTTAAAAGCACTACAAAAAGCAAATATCCACTTACCCTGTTTAGAAGTTCCTTCGTCTTTAGTCTGTGGCACACAAAATTCTTTAACAGCATCTAAAAAATTCCTAAAATTATCTGGACTCAAATCCGTATATCGGTGTCGGCACATCAGAACCTTTCTTCGTACAAACCTATTCAAATCCATCTAAACGGTTTTTACGTTCGACTAGATGCATATCCTTCCTACATACAGGACACTTATAATGGCTAATTAAATCTTCATTTACACACCAGTCAATTAACACTCTTTTTCCCTTTCGTTCCAAATCGTAGAGAAACTTCAAATTAATCTTACTACATTCGGCCATTCTACCGCCTAAACAATAAAACCAACACACAACCCAACAGCATTTACAAAACATCCCATGATTCAATTTTTCCCAGAATCATGCACCCGATTACATCACAGTAGGGTTTCCATAACATTCAACTACTCAGGCTACCATAAATGAAACAACTTCGCCATAATACAAGGGAATCGAAATATGGAAAAAAATTCCCATGTCATTTCAGAAAAATTTTGATTTTGTGTTAAAATATCTATATTAGAACAATGCTATATATATATCCTAAGTTGCGCTTTCAAGACATAAAAAATGCAATTTGAATTTCGTCAATTGGCCCAGTAGAACGGGAAATATAAAACTGTCCCCCCCTTTTTTTTCCCCGCAGTGTACATACAAGCATCATGAAAAAATTCCTTTTAAATCCATTTTACAATCTGTTTTGGTAGAGAGTCCTTTATACTCTGTGCATGCACAGATGACAATAAAAAGAAATCGTTCAAATGAATTTGTCAAAGTGGATATGTCTGTTCAAATATGATACCCGAAATTTTTCGTGATTACAGTACTGCTATATATATGTGCACATAGTGGCACAGATTTTTTTTTAGCTCAGTTTAATCTAAATCTTTTTAGTGTTCTTTTGGAAGTTAAAGAGTGTTCTCTGACTCGGTAATTACAGTCCAAAATCCAGATGTTCTCCAACGTCCGGAAACATCTAAAATCCAGATCCCTGCACCACCAGTAATTTTTTTTTTTTTTTAATGCTTTATGCATGCATATCTGATATTTTTCCATAATAAAATGTGGAAAGTTCTGATTTTTTAATTTTGCTTCATCACTAAAAATACCTCCACACTGAAAAAACAATCATTTGTTAACATAAATCTGTATGAACAGTAATTTTGCTCCACCTTTTTTACTTGGCATACGTCTCGAACCAAAACAACATCATTGATTTTACACCTACTCAACCTAATGAATCATCATTTATTATTTTTTACTTTCATTACTGCATGACTGTCAATACAACAGTTTGAAAAATAACTCTCATGATAATAACCAACTTGTCCATGTGCTTGACTCTGCATATCAATAAGATCAACTTGGCATCATCATCTGTTTAACTCATTGTGTAGAACTAATTTAGAAACTAATCTCTTCTTAGATTTTTTTACTATTGTAGACTTAGCACATTGGCAAGAACAAATTGATCATTTTGGTAGTAATATTGGCATATTTTTTGCCTCTTTCCATTTGATGCAGATTGTGTCCTCCATGTCCAGTTACTATGTGAGCTTTGATTACATCAAAAATTTCTTCAACTGGCAGGTAACATAATATTTCATGACCCTTGGACTTTGCAATTATTTGCCAAATGCCTTTTTTATAATGTTGAAACAGTTTGTGAGTCAGTACTGCAATGAAGTTTTCTTCATTGCCAATTAAGCATTTTCAATTTCCTGAAGTAATTCTTCATATACCTCTTAGTTCATAACAGAGTATTTAGATAATATGGTATCTTTGGTATTTAGTAAGTCATTAGTAAACTTCTTTTTTCACAGTCAACAAAATATTCGTTTTTTGGCCCCCCACGCCCCAAAAAAAACTTAAAAAAAAAAAAAAAAAAGCATTGCACAGGGATGGAGAGAAGGTTTAGATTATAATAACTTTCAATTAAGCAATATAAATGCTTTTCCCCGACAGGGTTAGCTGATCACTTAGAATAATTTCTTCTGTCATGTAATCACCGTAAGAGGAGAAGTAACCAATTAGTGCATAGATCATTCATTGCCCAAGTCAGGCTGAGTAGTTACTATTATACATGGGTTCTAACTGAAAACTGCAGTAAGTAGCCAAATTAAAATTTTAATTCATGTTTTTCCTAACCGTGATATTAATGACCAGTTGTTATAAGCAAGAATGCGGAGTTACAGATGCTCATAGATACTTCTAATATTCACTAGTAATTACATATCAAAGTGGATTTTTGCTATTTATGGTAGCATATATAGATAACAGTTGTGAAAATAAAAGCTGCATAAGGACTTTTGTGGATAGCATTAAGTTTCAAATTTTTGATATTTTTTAATATTGTTAGTGAAATAGAATATAGAAAATACAAGAAAATGTATTTTTTATATTTTAAAATTATTTCATAGCATTATAATTCATTTTTAGATCACAATCATTCTAAAATTTGGACTGCAGAAAGATTCCTTTCTGCTGGATTAGTTGGTCTTCTTCCTTTGTCGTTAGCATATCCTGCCCCTGCTCTTGATTATGCTCTCGCTGTAGCCTTGACTGCTCATGTTCATTGGTAAGTAATTTGTTTTTAATCTGAAATTGGTATTATTAAAAAATTTGAACTATCTGTTGTTTAGTTTGATCTTTGGTGACAAAAGTCGTGTGTGTTGTTACAGAAGTTTAAAAGGAAAATTAAAATTATTTCTTTAATATTTCAGAATGGGTATATAGATGTTATTCTCACCATATTTGTTCAGATACTTCAACTCGCACATTGTGTTTATTCAAAAATAAGAACTCTATTATTTTGCTCTAAAATTTGGTAGAGTTTTGTAAACAAATTTCTTTCAGAAATGAAATTGCAGAATGCAAGAAAAAAATTATCTTTCTGTGTAGAAATATTCCACTGTTTCTGAATTAGCCATGTAGATCATCTTTTCTCAAACCCTGGTCCTTGAAACTGCCCTTATGATCTTCCTAGGTTTCTTTCCAAAAAACTTATAATTGCAGCAAGCAGACACAGATTATTAAAAGTAGCAGTTGTACAGATTCTGCTGATGCTCAAAATGGAAATCATGATAAAGAAAAATGGATTGAAGAACATTAATAAATTCAAAATTTCAATTATAGGACTTTTGTTCATTACTGGTAGTGCTATTAATTCAATTGCAATATTGAATGGCATGTAATGGCAGGTTTGAATGGGGAAAAATGTACATAAAACTTTAAAAGCCATGATATATAATCCACAAAATACTTTAATCTGCTCAATCCTTTGTCTCAAGGTGTGTGGATTATTGAAATTTATATAGAAAGGATTGTGTATAAATCTTCCTGCATATTCAGTGTGCAGGAGATGTTGAGATGGGAGCATTAAATGCTTGTATTCTTAGTGGGATAGAACATTGTCCCACATGATCACCTCATTATGTTTTTCTATATTGTCAACTTCTTATAATAAGGTACTATAAACACATGAGGAAAGCATCCTCTGCAATTTTCTACTCTCTCTCACTTTTATTTTTATTTATTTATTTAAATTTGCTGTTTGCCTTTAAAAATCTCCAGATATAAATTATGTATTTAACAAGAAATCGTATGCATAATCCAAGGGATGGAGAGAAGGTCTGTGTAGAGGGAAAAGTATTGAAGGCACTAACAGTATTATTGATGTATCTGTTTATATATGTTTTTAATCATCAATATTTTTCCTTTATCCTGCTCAGAAATGGTTATGCACTCTGTAATTTTCCCTTCTCAGTTTTAAAGGGGCAAATCTAGTTGAAAAATAAGGAAAAGTGAGTGAGTAAATAAAGTATATCAAATCTACTTATAAAAAATGTTTATTATAAAATCATTATAATATAAATTTTAAAACTATTTATAAAAACACAATCAATTTTTAGAAAATAATAACTTTGCTTTCTTAAAATTACAAAGAAAGATGTACTTACTTAATTGATTTTTTTACCTGAAGAACTTAATCAATAAAGCAGAATATTCAGCATTAAAAAAAGAATCGGGTTATAGTAACTTGGCGATTTTTTGGCGACCAACCCTGCAACAGCAACCTGCTAGGTTTTTTTTTTTTTTTTTTTTTTTTTTTTCAACAATCTGCTAGCCGAATTACGCTTATGCTAGAACTTTTATGGAACAAAAGTGCTTAATTATGACGAAGATTAGGTGCGAAATTGGGAGAAAGTGCAGAATCGCCCACTGCTTACCGCATTTTTAAGAATTGCACATACACGGTATCATCCATGTACACATCGACCTATTTTCACTTAAAAAAACATCCCAAAATTGCACACAAAAATGGCATTGCGCACACTCTTGACTTTATCCATGTACACTGCTAAAGTCTTAGCTAGTAACCTTTATCGCCTTACCAAAATGTCGCCAAACTACCTGTTACCATATTCCAAAGATTAGCCAAAGAATCCAAATAAATAATACAGTACAAAGTCCGAAATCCGGACTCGTCAAGATTTGAGCGATTCCGGACTTGAGATTTTTCCTGGTATTAGATCATCAGTTTAAATGTAGTAAGATGGCATGTAGAAATTATAAAATTAAAAATATGAAATCGTGATTTCTAAAATAATGAAGTATTTATGATCTAAAAGGTATGAAAATTTACAAAAAAAAAAAAAAAAAAAAAAAGCACAAGATACAATAACATTGCCAAACAAATGTTAATTTAGAAATTTATTTCAAAACAAAAATCAGCATTATATTTTCAAATCGCACTTTTAATTTTTCTGCTGCCAAAATTATTCGAAAAACATGTTCCATTGGCGAACTGGATTTTCTAGAGGCATTTCACATTCAAAAAATTTTTATGTTCTACTTAACGACCCTAATTCCAATTCATCTTTGCCTTCAGCCTTTAAAGAAATTATGTTTTATTTCTAGTTTCGTGAACAGATGGCGTCAGTAGCTTATCTCCTGTCCAGGTTTTCTTATCTTATCTAATCATTTCTATATCTTCCCCTCAGGGGGCTCACTTTTGTGAGTACGGGTGTGGCAATCCCGAGGTACCCTAGCCCTTCAGGGGATCATCTTCTTGATGAGACGGGTGTCACGATCCTGGAGCCCCAGTGATCTATCCTCTTTTCCATCTCCTCTCCTCTTGGCTGAAACTTTTTTCCTTCCCTTCTCCCTTGTGGTTTCTCTCTACGGAGTTTGGGGCTCGTCACGAGAGACTGGAACAGACCTTGTTTCTAGTTTTCGAGTGGCGAGAAAACTGCCCACGTGTTTGCCATGCGTGGAGACCCATGTCGCTGGAAAGGAGGGTCCTGGTAGTTGAGGGGCGAGGTACTGTCCCCAACACACTGCTTTGGCCTCTGCTTCAGCTAAACGGGAGGCACCTTAGTCGTCCTCACGGGTGTCAATCGGCTGGTCACTAGTCCTTGTGTCAGTGGCTTGGGGTCAAGCTCTCGGGAGTACCTGCTTTCGGGAAAGCCGACTGTGGGGCTTCAGTTTGCGTATAGGTCCGGCTAGCCCTAACACAGGATTCTGTGTTCCCTTGTAGGGCTCCGTGGTGGGCGGGGCCGTCGGACCCGAACCTTTTTCTTCCTCATGATGGCTAACCCTCAAATTTTTCTAATTAAGGATTTTGAAGTCACTCCAGTCACTCAACCGAATTCTGAAAAGTCTACTGCTAAACCAGTCACTCAACCTAGTCCTGAAAAGTCTACTTCAAAAAAATTACGGACAGATGCAAATGCAAATAATTCTAATAGTAATCCCCGTTTCCTAGTTATCTCTAGTCCTTCTGGCGAGCTGCAGAAGATGTCTCCTTTCATAATAAATAAATATATTCATTCTTGTATTGGTGAGCCGAGAAATATAAAGCGTCTCCGCTCTGGAGACTTGCTTATTGATACAATCTCAGCCACCCAGTCTGCTTCTTTACTTCAAATAACTAAACTTGGGCAAGCGAATGTCACTGTAACAGCACATAAGACACTGAATTATTGTCGTGGCGTAATATCGGAATTCGACCTTCTGTATGTTCCTGAAGAAGAGATCGCTTCCGAGCTATCCGATTAAAATGTCTGCGGTGCTAGGCGGATCAAGATGCGTAAGGAAGGTAAGTTGATCGATACGAAACACGTGATTTTTACCTTCAACACGCCTGATCTGCCTAAGAATATTAAGGCCGGATATTTAAATTGTCCTGTAAGACCTTATGTTCCCAACCCTATGCGATACTTCCAATGCCAGCGTTTTGGCCATTCTAAGACGTCTTGTCGTGGCAGCCTCACGTGCGCCCGATGCTCACAGATTGGCCACGATTCTGAAACTTGTACCGCTGCGCCCCTTTGTATAAATTGCAAGGGTGAGCACCCAGCATTTTCATGCCTCTGCCCAAAATGGAAATTGGAAAAAGAAGTGCAGACTGCAAAGGTTACGAGGAACATCTCATATGCCGAAGCCAGAAGATTAGTCCAAAGCACACAGCTACGACCAAATACATCTTACGCCAATGCTCTTAAAAGATCTCGCACAGTTGCCACCCAAACATCAGTTAGTATGCAGACTCCACCAAACAAAACTCAACAGACTACAAAACAACAAGAAGACAGAAAACCCAACCCATACAGTACAAAATAAAGAAATAGTAATTCAAAGCAAACCCAAAACTACCACACGAAAAGAAACAAATAAAAATAGAAGTTCTTCAAGGAATAGCTCTCTTGATGGAATGGTTTCTGAATCTGCGGATTCAGACGGTATGGAAGTAGAAGAGGGTCTGGAAGTTCCCAAGCATCTACTTCCACGAAAAACCAAACAAGAGCACAGAAAGAACAAAAACTATTCATAATGGCCACCCTCGTATCATGGAACTGTCGCGGTTTCCACCGAAATCTGCTCGACATCAAAGCTATAATCAATGTTCATCAACCTGTATGCTTCGCAATACAGGAAACAAATCTAAAACCGGAACAACAAGCAAAACTTTGGAGGTTTTCTTTCGTCAGGAAGGATAACCTTGCAGGTGAGCGTGCCAGTGGAGGTACAGGTCTCCTCACCTCACTGGACTACCCATCAAGTTCCTTTCCTTTGACGACACCCCTCCAAGTTGTCATTACTCAAACAAATCTTGATATTGTTGTTACAGTCATTTCCCTGTATTTGCCTCCAAATGAGCATATTGATCAGCAAGATTTAAATGGCCTTATAGAGCATCTGCCTGAGCCTTTCATCATAATAGGTGATTTTAACGGCCATAGTCAGCTCTGGGGTAGTAAAGATACAAATTGCCGAGGAAGACAAATTGAGCGATTGAATGAAGATCATAGCCTTTGTCTCCTGAATAATGGGCAGGATACTTACTTCCATGAGCCTTCAAAGACATTCCACGCTCTCGACCTTGCCATCTGTTCACCATCTCTGTTGCCTTTTTGCACTTTTAGTGTGGGAAATGATCTTTATAACAGTGATCATTATCCCATTTTTGTGTCTCTTGCACGAAGAGGAGCAAACCCCATGTCGAGACTCCCTCGGTTTATACTGGACAGGGCAGACTGGGAACTCTTCTCTTCCATTGCAGAGCTCACAGATCAA